CCCCCCCCCCCCCCCCTCCCCCTTTTTTGACTGTCTCCTGAGCTGCTCTCAAGCACCTAACAAGAAGATTGCGGCTAATATTATTAGACAGAATGGGTGTCGTACGACGACGCCGACACCTTCTCCCAGAAAAAGGAGCTGGCCAAGGACCTGGGGCTGGGCGGCTACCGCATCTGGGCCATCGATCAGGATGATGAGCATCTGACGGCACTGCAGCCCGTCATCTCGCCCAAAAAGCTAGGCGACTTGGGCGCGGCTGCCGACAAGGGCGGCTGGCAATCTTCCAACAAGCACTGCTACATCACATCCTGCGGTGGCAACTGCGACACCGGCGACATCAAAATCACCGACCAAGAATGCGGCGACGACAACAAGCGCAGCAAGCTCTGCTGCCCGCTGTCTGGCGCCCCGGATCCCAAGGGGTGCAAATGGCGCGGCGGAGAGACCACGCGCTGGTGCAACGGCCGCTGCAACGACGACGAGGTCATGATGGAGATGAACAAGTGGGGCGACGGCCAGGAGTGCTGGGACGGCAACAAGGCCTACTGCTGCAAGAGCCCGCTCGCCGAGGAAAACACTTGCTACTGGAGCAGTATCGGCGGCTCCTGTAAGGGCGATGACTTGCCGCTGACATTCTCGGGCACCATCCTGACCATCTTGGAAGACGTGGCCAAGGTCATCCTCCGCGTTGTCGGGGGCGCCCATCCTCTCACCGCCCTGGTAGGAGAAGTACTCCTCGCCGTGCTCGACGAACTCAATCTCGACACGGACAAGTACTACTGCTGCCCCAAGGAAGATATCCCTAAATGGAAGAACTGCGCCTGGTTCGGCAAGCTCGGCAACTGTTTCGACGGCCACTGTCCGGACATGACATATGCCCAGCTGACCGACAGCTACTTTGGCGGCGGCGAGACGTTCGGCGGTTAGCTGTCTCGCGTACGCACCTTTTGCTGCGAGGCTTCAGAGGACCCTTTGTTCCTGCCCGTGCCCCTGGGCAATCTTTTCGAGCACCCCCCGGATGGTGAGAGTGTCGACACCGACTTCTCCCTCGAAACGGACAAGGACTCAGACTCGCAGCAGACCCCCAACGAGGCGTCCTTCCAGTTTGCTGTGCTCGTCTCGCCTGAGGAGCTGCAGGTCTCCGTCGACAAGCGTGACGGCTCTCACTGGGACATTTTCTCGGGCTGCGACTCGGCCATCGGCAAAGACGGCCCCCATACGGTGCAGATGGTATGCACAGACTTCTCCGAGGGCAGCAACTGTTACAAGATCAGTCTCGGCCACGGCGTCCCTGGCACCATTCTACAGATGCCTTCCGGGTGTGGCCCCGGAAAGTACGCCGTTGCAAAAGACATGGCCCCAACCACTGACCCTAAAAAGACGATTCTTCCCCGCCATCTCGAGCACCTCTCGGCTGCCCACGCCCCCGTCGTCTACGATTTGACCTTTGACTACGACTTCACGAGCGTGCCCCGCAATCTTGGGGACACCCAGATGCGCATCGACTTCAGAAACCAGGACGACTACTGGAACACGGTCGTCTCGGCGGCCGGAAATACCAAAAAGAAGATCAAACGCTCCCTCGCCGACACTGGGGGCAACCACGCCCGCTGGCTAGAGGAAGAGTTCCGCGACGACTACCATTTCGGTGCCCTCTCGCGCCGTGACCTCGAGGAGCGTTGGTTCGGCTCAAGCGTCCTCGACTGGCTTGCCCGCATTGTTAAGCCGGAAATCACGCGCGAGTTCACTTATGACTACAAGGACACCCTGACAGCCAAACTCATTGACGAGACGTGGCAATGCAACCGCATCGACTACGAGGGTCACATCCTTGCCCAGGCCCTCCTCAAAGTGAACGTAGCGACCAGCTTCAGGTTTGCTTTGATCGTTACAAAGATAACCCCGCCCGTCGACACGTCCCAAAGCTACCTGACCTTCTACAACAAGGGCGAGATCACGGGCGTTTTGACCCTCGAAGCCGTCGCCAAGTTTTCGTATGACAGGTCAGACGTCATTGTGAGCATCCCTTTCCCAGGCGCTTCCTTCAAGATCCCGGGAATCGCAACCATCGGCCCGCAGTTGACGGTGGAGGGCAGCATCGATGCCTCGCTCACCCTGGCAGGCAAGGTGGAAACACGTCTCGAGTTCGCCAACTGGGAGGTCCGCCAGGTCCTTCCCGACAACGGCGACAGCAAGTACACGCCCAAGGAGATTGGCGACGGCGACCCAGACCTCAAGCGCACCGGCGACAACGAGGATCTGGACGAGCCCAATTTCTACGCCGGCGTCCAGGCCCTCGGCGGCGGCCGAGTTCGGCATCCGCTTCGACAAGCGCTGGGACGTCGCCCCGGCTGCCGCGGCCATTGTGGCCGAGGCCAGCGTCATGATGAAGATGGGCGTCGGCGTCTCCACCAAGGACACCTGCCCGTTAACATTTGGGGTCGATGTCGGTGCACGCCTGTTTGCGCGTGCAACGGCACCAGGCTTCGGGTGACCGGGGGCCGAGGTGGCCATTACGCCCGATTATAAGAAGCCCATCATCGACGGCGGCACGTGTCCAGGCCTGGGATCCCTTCCGACCAAGCGTGACCTGAATTTCCTCATCATCGAGGCCAACGACACCCGTGGCCATAACCATGGCTATAGTCACACCCACAAGCGTCTGAGACATGGCCATGGCCACGCCCACAACAGCCGCAGCCTGGCCAAACGAGCGGCCGTCTGGAGTCCAGTACTCAGCGTGCCCGTGGGCAGCTACTTCTGCCCACCCGAAGCCAGTGACAACTCCGGCCCGGGCTCCCCATGCTCCAAGATCGGGTACGCCTGGGACGAGAGCGACATCATCGGGGATTCACTTTTCAGGCGGTCCGAGTCTTTTGGACACGCCCTCGAAAAATGGTCTTCCTCCAAGCCCACGGAAATCTGCGGCGTGACAACCAAATTCCAATACCCGACAGACTCGGATGCCAAAAAGCTGAACAACCCGATCTACGGCTTCAAAACCACCGATTGCAAGGACTACGAGTTCGGCCTTCTCACGGCCGATGTTGCCGGTGTCAGCTACGATGCCGAGCACGTTCTCGAGGCCCAACTCATCAGTCAGTTCTTCGACACGCTCAAGAATCTCGGCCCCTTCCCCCACCCCGACCCTACCAAGGCCGCGGCGGGCACAACGCTCAAGTTCTGCCCGTTCGTCAAATTGCTCTGGAACGCTCAGGCTGTAATTCCAGGCCTCGAGACCGCCCTAGGGACCGACATCCCTCTCATCGCCTTCAAACACGTCGCCAGCCAGTTCCCCACCGATAAGTGGAAGAAGGAAGAGTACGTCTGCCTCGAAAAGCACATCAACGCACCGCCCAAGGGGAACGCCTGGGGTGGATTCAGCTCAAAGGGGAAAAGTATCCAAGTCGTCGATCTCGAGAAGTGGCTCGGCACCGACCCCAACGCCAACTCCAACAGCCCCTCGGGCCAGAACCCGCCCAAATACCCCTCCAAGAGCAAGATCGCCAACATCGACGGCGCCGAGGAGATCATGAAGTCGATGCGCGTCATCCTCGGCTCGCGCCTGTATCACAACACCCCCGCCATCCAGAAGATTCTCAAAGACCAAAAGGAGCGCGTGGGCGAGGTGCTCCGGCGCCTCGACACCGAGGTCTTGCCCAACACCCCCAAGAACCCGGGCTGGACGCCCTGGGCGTCGCAGGACCTGAAGGGCAGGTGGGACAGGTTCATGAGCGGCAAGATGGCGCTGGCCGCGAGCAAGTCCAAGATGGTGACGACTGACGTCTCCTCAGACTGCAAAACCAACTACTGGCTCGGCGAAGCCTACTGCGTCGGTGTCTCAGGAGACGACGCAACCACAACAACAAGCACCGCCAGTCCCATGGGCTCCTCATCAAAACCCACACCGCCCGGCCCAACCATGACCGGC